TTTGTTGAGTTATTGTTGTTTAAAGTTTCAAAAAAATTTCAATAAAAACAATTTGCTTGATTTCTATTGACTCACCCCCATATACTAAAAATAAACTTTCAAAAATTTTAAATTATTTATAAACTAAAAAAATAAAAAATTGATTTTTTTTTTCTAATAATTTAAAAATTAAAAATACTAAAATATAATCTTTAATTATAAAAAATTTTAAGATTTGATAAAAATAAATCGAAAAAAATTTCAGCAGCCAAATTTGCTAGCTAAACTAGACGGTTTAAAGGATAATTAATTTTTTTTTTCTCCTAATTTTTCCTGATGATCATGCTCGTGTTTGTCGTTTTATAACTGTATACATCAGAATTTCCCGGGTGCCTTGATTTTTTAAAATATATTGACTTAGTAGCCAGCTTATTGTTTAACCATTAACTAAAAGATTTATCGTTATACTATTTTTTTTTATATATAAATTTCGGATATGTGTTCATATACAGAAAATCATGCTTATCTAAGCATGGTTTTGCGGTGTGCGTACGAACCCATATGACAATGTTAAGATGGTAAACCTATTATACCACAATTTTATTTTATTCAAACGTTCTTTGCCTTGAAATGACCTTATAAACATAGTAACTACTATATCTCATAAGGTCAATTTTTCAAGACAAAGACCCAATTTAGAAAAACAATATTTTTTAGGTCACACCACGTTGAGGTCCGATTGGATTTTCGTGCGAATCTCGGTTATTATTTCTTGCGCAGCAACTTTGCAGATTGCGTAACATTCAAAGTACTAATGGTTATGTAAATAAATAAACGGTTAATTTATGAAAACGCTGGTCAGAATGTAAAAATTTAATACCTGTTGTTCAGTGAACAATCCAGTGGACTCACAAAATAATAATCCAAATGATGTTTTGCTGAATGCAAATGTGTGATAAGATTGAGCTTTCTTTAAATGTTAAAATGATAATGAGTAAAAAAAAAAAAGTTTTTTCAGATTTTTACAAATTATTAATAACGAAATGAAACGGTAAGCAAACCTCGATCTCACGCAATATTGGATCGACTAATATATTCCCGTCTTTATTCACAATACAAGCAACAGCTACAACAATATCTTTCATTGCAACGCCAGCGTTCATTAATGCCAATGTAGTTGCATTTATTGCTGTTGCCAAAATCTAATTCAATAATTAGAGTCAAATGTAATTTTAACCTTTACATTCCAAGGTAATGATCTTATTTCGCGATAAAAAAAGGGATACGTTTCCATCGTCCATCATCACTTGGCACACAATTTGAATCAATGTTCGTGGATAAAGATTTGATTTAATAACACTTTCAACTGTTGAACGTATAATATATTCATGTGTTTTATCCTTAGTACCTATAAATATACGCTTGTAAAAAAATTCATTATGAAAAAGGAACAACATAATGCATACAAACAAGTATACATACTAGGTAGACCAATTAAAGGTTTGAATGTTACGTCAATTGTTGCTTTATCCACTTTCTCATCACGTAATTTAACTTCAGTCGGTCCGTTTACTGAACATACAACAGCAGAATCACCTATATTATAAGCTAAAGCATTATAATTTTGCAGAAATAATGTATCGAAAGGTAGGATCAGAAAAACAGCACACCAAATTTAAATAAAGCAGAGCCATCCCTGCTCACATAATTTTGTTCGATAAAAATAGATCGAATTTTTGACGATAGTCGGTTACGAGTCGTCATAACGATAACAATGTAATAATGTTAACAATGTAGAGGTAACAGTAATGATAAACAGATCAAGTTTTTTAAATTTATTACAATGTGCAAAATTAATATCATATTGCTTCATCATTATTCGATGCTTTTGATTGGAAGATACCGACATTTAATTCGCACTCCGTAATAAATGCATGGTCATGTGTAATACCAGATAACGAATAACAGATAATGTTAACTGAAAATAACAGATAATATTAATACCGATACGTAATGTTAATAATGTACGTATGCGTAATCCAGTAATCCCGCCACTAAAGGAATTCAAATTGACAAACTGGATGGTGTTTACTCGTTGAAGCATGACACCTTTCGAAAAGGTTAACTTCCTCAGACGGTCTGTATTGGTATTGTACATTTATTAACTTTGGCTTTTTAAATTACACCAGGCTTTCCAAGCATGTTTCATAATTATTTTGAATTGAATTCAGAATAGGCAATTTAACATTAAGTTGGTCCTAATTTTGATACCTAAATGTGTAATTTAAAAACAATACGTATTTCGGCTTTTTTTCTTTACAACTCTTATTATCTCGATTATGATTGCTATTGGAGCATCTCGTTAACCCAACTTTTTGTGACACGTGACTTAAAAATTTTTGCATCAATTGATTATCGCTATAGCATTTCCCGAGACAAGCTTGGAACTTCTACACCCCAAGAAAATCGTTAGATTACCGACAGAAATGCTTCGCACATGCCTCTTATCGAGTAAATTTGTGAGCTCTCTTAAAACTTCATTTAGTCGAAACTATGCTAGTGTCTCTGCCTCACCTGTAGCAGTTACAAAGTCTAAAACTGGAATTACTGTCGTTTCGGTTGAAGGTGAACATGTTTCTAAAAGTTTTGGCCTTCTAAACAACCCGATAGAATTCAACAGACTTTGATGGAGTTATAAGCTTGAGTGGCTCCTGTTTTTCATACTCTGAACTTTTATATAAATAATAAAAGATAGTGCCCCTGCTTCTTCTGTCTCCCTTGTGGTAAAGGCTGGATCTCGGGAGGAGGGTGCTGATAATGTCGGTGTGGCTCATTATTTAAAGAATTTTGCTTTTAAGGTAAGATAATCATTTTGTTCAATTTGATCCGTAAAATTAATTCTTGACTGATAAGGTCAAAAACCCTCTTAAAGTTTTATTAGTGAGTTGTCCGTCGAGAAATAAATATTATACAGAATATATAAACAATACTAAAATTTTTTTTTTTTTTTCCTTTATATAATTGAAAATTTAATAATTTTTCATTGGTCATAGAACACGTCAACGCGAACTGCGTTCCGCACCGCGCGTGAAGCCGAATTGCTCGGTGGCTTTCTATCTGCAAATTTGACAAGAGAAAGTTTAATACTTTCTGCTGAATTTTTACGCCAAGATCTGTACGTAACATATAATATATAACCTTTCAAATTTTTTCGAATTCGAAAAAATAAAAGTTTTTAAAGATGTCAAAAATGTTAAGGTCTCTAAATCAATTCTTTCGTTCATTTTATTTTTATTTATTGTTATTTTTTGTTAAAAAATAACTAATTAGAGGTTATTTTATGGAAATCTTATCCGATATTATTTTCAAGACAAAATATGAGCCACATGAATTTTCTAACATTAAGGAGAGTGTCAATTTTGAAAGAGGTGCTGCTACTGCTATTCCCGAAGTTATAGCATTGAATACAGCACATGCTGTGGCCTTCCGTCATGGCCTTGGCAATTCTTTATTTGCTGATGATGCGACAAAAATTTCAAATAGTTCAGATGTTAGAGCATTTGCTAATAAAGTTTATACTGCACCAAATATCATGATTGTGGGTACTTCTGTAAATCATGGAGAGTTATTACATTTTACAGATTCACTGTTCCAAAACGTCAGCCACGCTGTTCCATCTACTCCAATTACCTCAAAATACTTTGGTGGCGAATCTAGAATTTCTTCACCGGGAGATAGCCATTTTGTCCTTGCTTTTCTAGGTGCACCTGCAGGTACTCCCGACTACGCTGCTCTTCAAGTTTTACGTTTTCTTATTGACGGTGAAAAGTGTTCCAAATGGGGAGAAGGTGTCAATGTATTAGCTCAGAAAGCAAGTAAGCTTGAAAATACAAAAATTAGTTCTTTCAATACTGGGTATTCGGATGCTGGTCTCTTTGGTGTACATATCTCGGGAATAGCTACATCTGTATATTCGGCTGCTCGTATTGCTGTTGAACAATTGAAACATGCCTCCAGTAAGATTTCAAAAGAAGATTTCGAGCGTGCTTTAGCCAAAGCTCGTTTTAATACCGCTGCATCTTATGAGACACGCGCTTCTAAAACGGAAATTTTCGGTAACCAGGTAATCCCAGCGTAATGGTCAAATCCCTTAGTAAATAATAACAATTGTGAATAGGTCCGATTTTTACTGTCACATGAAAATATTAACCACATAATACCTGTAATTCCTGTTCATTTTGAAAAAATCGCATTTATCACAAAATTTAGTCTAGTAAACTACCTAACAAAAAATTTTGATTATGTAATTTACTTTTAAATTGCTATCCTTAATCTCAAGCTCTAAGATATTTATTGAAATACATTTATTATACATATCATGTGACAGTAAAATTGATTATATATCCTATCTAAATTCTTAACCCTCCAATGCTAATAATTATCAAATTATAGATTTTGTATTCTGGAAAAGTCACTACGGTGAATGAAGCTATTGCCCAATATGATCGTTTCAAAATTGAAGACATTCAAAGCGTATGTAATCTTTATATCATAGATTTTGAATACGTGTATTATAAACCGACGCATTTGCTAATTTCTCATGAAAAAATAGACTGCAGCGAAGGTTCTTAAGAGTAAACCTACCGCAGTTGCACTCGGTGATGTCAGCACTTTACCGTACTCTGATGGTCTTTCTCTTTAACAAAAATAATAAATATCTTTATTATATATTATATATAAGACATTGCTGACTTTTAATTAAATAAATTTTGCTTGATCGTTTTATTTATTCTGATTTCATTAAACATGAACAATAATATTTTATAGATGTGCCAACAATCTATGATGACATAAATTCTATATGCTTCAAATTGAAATACTAGCCCTTGAATAATTATAATATCCTGTAATATTAATCACAGGATGTTTTTTTTTTTTTATCTGGGCAAAAAAAAAAATTTTTTAAAGTCAACGTTTATCCTACTTGCAAATTACGCTTATCATTAGCTTGCAAGTCTCATCAAGTTGTCTACAATTACTAATTGATACTGTATATGAGTTGTATTTTTTTTAAGCTATTTTAAAGAAAAAGAGATTTGCACTTTGCGGGTGCCCTAATTTCCCCCATCACTTTACTATCGGAATAAAAAAAAATTGATTAAGTGAATAATTAGTACAGCCAATTAGAGAGAGAGAGAGAGAGGAAAGTGGTAGGGTAAATTAGTAAATTCGCACTTTGTATTTTGTAAGTTTATTAGCTTTGAGCTTATTTTTTTTGATTATTTAATACATATATATATTACAATTATTTATTTGATCATTACACAAGGCATCTTTCATTGTTTTCTAATTTATAGCACTTATACAATACTGTAGTTACATTTATAGTTTTATTAATAAAATAGTATATGCGAATTTTAGTAGATATTTGTAAATATTATAATTTAAATAGAGACCCAAATTTCAGCATAAGCTGTCACAATTAATATAGCTCATCTAAAAATCATTTATTGTAACAATATTCCAATCAGATAATAATCACTATTGAAATTGTAAGCAAATGCAATAATAATATTTCTATTAAGATTTTAAACCGTTAAAAGTATCATATTACACAAATGCAACAATTTTCTCTAATCGATTTTTGTTTTCTGTTTAGTTGATGATCGAGAGAATGATAATATATATATATGTATTTTTAACATAAATACAATAATTAAGGAAAATGTTTTGTTTTTGTGCTTAAATGTTTTATTACTAATAGAAAAAAAAAATTTTTTTAGAATCGCTAAATAAAAACATTTCGAGAGAAATGAACAATCTGAAAATAAAATGTGTTCATATTTACCACTTTCTCTTCCATCAGACCATCCTTGAAAAACGAGAGGTAGGGCGTCATTCCATCCTCGCGGTAATTCAACAATCCAATAATACCCTCCATGTCAAAATTCTCACCAACGTAAAACTGGTAATCTGCAGTAAAACAAAGAATTTTAAAGATAATTAAACAAATCAATTAGTAAACGAAAATAGTATACCTTTAATATTGCTAAGGACTTTTTTTGAAAATTTATTGATTTTATCTTCCCATTCCTTCATTTCGTTTTCATCTTTGTTAGAAGTTTTTTTAACGTGTTCTTTAAGTTTTTTCAAATATCCCTTAAGATATGTTGTATAGGATTTCTTATCGAACGAAGTTTCTTGAAGACGAAAAGCATGAACAACATTGATAACTTGTTGACTTGTAGGGTCCTCAAGAGCTTCTTCTTGCTCTTCGGCTGAAGGATTTGCGCCGATATCTACATCAACACCTTCTTTGATTACAATAAGCTGAATAATAAAATAAATTTTAACAAACGTTTACGGAAGAATATGGTAGACAACGCAATTAGCGACTACCTGACAATCAACTTCAAGAATAACATCCCCGATAATCTTGACTGGGTAAGCGTCAGAAACGAACTCGTCATGTTTATCTGCAAATAAAAACTAGCAGAATTAAGTAATTTCCTTTGCTTTTTCTCCCCAGGCAAACAGACTTTATACAAATACAAATAAAATAATAGACACAGTTAGTTACCAGAAATAGCGTCTTTATAAATGATCATTTTTTTTCTCAATGTTATCGAGATGGATGTATTTAATTACAAATGGCAAAGAAAGATTAAGTATTTATATAGTACAACGGTACGCAGCTAACTCATACATGATGGCGTTTTTTTTTTTTTTTTTTTTTTCCGTAGATCTAACGATCGAAAAAAAAATCAAAACACCGCCCCAACTAGGACTCGAACCTAGAACCTCCGCCTTAGGAGGGCGACGCCATATCCATTAGGCTATTGGGGCCTTTTTCATCATTTAATATTTATTTTTTAATAACCAAATTTTGTAAATGACCTGAAAAACCACAAAATAACCATTCCATTCACGTTATTAGGTTTATCAGTTAACAGAAATTAATGACAAATCATTTTTGAAATGAACAATGACTGGTCATTTGGATCATTTCAGGAATCGAGCATCGTTTTTCGCAAACTCTGTTATTTCGAGCATCAACGAATTTTTTTTAGTTTATTAAAAATCATGTTATAGTTTATTTGTTCTGGGACTCTTAGGCAGGGTTGTGAAATTATAAATTTTTTGGATTACCGCTAGTCAATCAAATTATCATCTGGGCAGAGTGGGCTATGAATTTATTTTTGAATTTTGGTTGTGCAACTAATTTATTCTGCTGAATTTGGTTGCGCCGCTAGTCTATTTCAATCATTCAATTACTATTTATATCCAATTACGTTATTCTGTATCACATGATATTATAACAGATAAACTATTAGGTAATTCATATAAAGTATAACTTCATCTAATCTATTATGTAACACCGAAATCCCTTTTTGTGGTTACGTATGATAAAGCCTTTTTTTCAATCCATTTAAGCGGTTTATTCTTTTTTACGCTTTAAAAAGGTTGTTTTATTCTTTTGAAAGAGAAAAATGTCGTGGCAAGCATATGTTGATGATAATCTCGTTGGAACTGGCAAGATTGCTCATGCTGCCATTTATGGCCATGATGGTACATTGTGGGCAGCTTCCAAAGGCTTCAATGTAAGTGGTCAATATTAAGTTATCGCGAAAGAAGTTAGTTCTCCAAAGTCGTAATGTATCATAAAAAACCATCATAATAAGAAAATAACCGCTAAGCATATATGCATAATTACATGAATTTTATCTTTTTTACTCTGATATATTAGCCGAGTCATGAGGAAATCAAAACTATCATTGAGTCTTTTTCTGATGCTCAAAAAATCCAAGCAAATGGAATACATTGCAATGGTGTTAAATATGTTTTTCTTAATTCAGATGAACTAACTGTTCGTGGCAAAAAGGTTAAATCATGATTTTAATTTATTCTTGATTAACTTGTATAATTAGCGATTACTCATTCTTTTCATTTTAAATAGGGCGCAGCCGATGGTATTGTTGCAGAGAAAACAAATCAAGCTGTTATTATTGGGATTTATGCAGAAGGTACAATGGCCGGGCAAGCCAATAAAGTTGTTGGAGATTTGGCTGATTATTTAAGAGGTTTAAATTATGTAAGTTTTCATTTATTAAAGTTACTTGCACTTTGTTTTTTTTTGTTTTTTTTTTATATGCTAAAGTTATCTGATTATTTGACAGTAAAAGTATGTCCGTTTTTATTTTGGGTTTCCATTTTTATCTACATCATTTATATTATGAATTACAATAACATGGTACTTTGACAAATCATAGTCTACAGTTTGAGTTACTTTATTTTAACTAGCAATTTGTTTTGTTTTTTTTTTGTATTAACGATTGATTCCTAAAGTGCCTTATTACTATCGTAATCTCAGGCTTATTGTACAAAAAACTGGGCATTGTTAAGATTCGTCTTTTAATAATAATGATTTTTTATCATATTTTTATAATCCTTGTTTTGTTAATGACTCCATCTGCTCCTCTAAATGTTCACTTCTGTGTATGTAAAAATCTAACTATAAGATAAGCATAAAAAAAGCAGATTCTAATGGACTTCTAATGAAAGTTACACATCTTGATCGAACTGATATTATGTTGATCACAAACATAGTCCAAGCCTCATAGTAAATTCCAATAGTAAGGATTTTTATGTCGATTTAATAATAACATATAAAACTTTAAATTTCGAAGGAACAATCGTACACTAGTAAAATTATACTTATTCGAATCCTTTCAATATTCTCTTTAAATTAATGTAGCCTTTTTGTTATTTTTATTAAATATTATTCGATTTTATGAATCATTTTTTGCCTTAACTTCTATAAAATTAAGAAAAAGGACATTAGTTTAAAGAAAATGTATAATTTTACCGGTGTATGATTATTGTTCCTTCGAAAGTTATATAAATTTAAAGTTTTATATGTTATTATTAAAGTGTGATGGTATCGCACATCCCAATTGTATATGACTAAATCTAAATTTTTTGATTTTTGAAGATATTAAAATTAAAATGTTATATATTTATAAAGTATTTGTATATGTTGTGCCTTAGATGTTAAAGTTAAGGAATAGTTTAGTTAATTTATGTTAATCAATTAATGCTAGTTAACCAATTAATATCTGAGATGTTTTAATTGTTATTTAAGACAAATTTTTTTTTTTTAATTATTAAAGCTGCTTTCTTGGCCAATTGGATTTTATTAATTTGTTATTGCGGAGTTACCGAAATAGTAATCTTCTAAGGTTTTATAATTACATGATGAGTATACAATAAGCTATATATATAACTTTAGTTATTGTTTAATTTAAGTAGTTCGCTATATAGATGATTGATTATCTGTTGGTTCTACATTATATTATT